ACAAACACACAACAATATATATATATATATATATATATATATATATATATATATATATATATATATATATATATATGAAGAAATATACTCTTAAGGTGTGCTATATTTATGGGATAAAGTGCTTAATATCAGAGACAGAGAGAGTGTAAATATAAAAGTGATCATTGAAGTCAACACTTAGAGGCGACGGGCTGTTTCATGCTAGACGCAATCGTCAGCCCATGAGTGTTGCTTTTTCTCTCGGCTATTTATATATACGGGTCAGAGGTGCATTGTGGTTAGTCTATTTAGGTGGGGTTTTTTTTGCCGGAAGTCGTTTATTTATTTATTTGGGTTAAATTATTTGGCCTGTTTTTATTTATTTTTATTATTTATTTTTAAATATATATATTTCTCTATATTTTTATTTACTCTATTCGCTTTTCGATTTTTAAGTAACGTAGTATTTTTTTTTCGTTATATAACAGTTATAGCTATGTTTTTCGTCCGAATTTTTGGTTTGATTTTTATAGTCTAATATTTTGGCCATATTGGGTTGTTAATTTGTTTATTATTTACTTTATTTATTTATGTTAATTGATTTTGTTTTTAATTTTTTATTTATTTATTCTATTTCGTCGATTCTAACAGGTGTGATTTGGTATTATGTTTGGGTTAATTTATTTTACTTATTTTATTGTCATTTTGTTTATTTATTTTATTTTACTTTATTTTTTTTTTTCAATTTTCGATTTTTAAGTACCTGTACCTGAAACGGCATTCACCCGGGGTGGGTTGGGCGTTCTCCAATATTGAAGTTTTATGGGAATTTGGAATTCACAAGCGGTCCCCAACCCGCATGTATAGCACATGAGATTTGATTGTAGGGTGAAGGTTTCGTGCAGGACCATCCACACTTTTTGAAGGGCCGATTACAGAGACCTGGTGCACTACGTGCCTTCCGCAGGTTTTGAATTCAGAGTTTTCCTTCTCCTAGACCAGTTGCCATCCAAGGCTATAGAACCCAGTCTGTCCTGCTATTTACCCATAGCTGGAGGGTGAACAAGATGATTCACACCTTTCCCAATTCCTCAATCCATGCCGTTATCCATTACTCCAACGTGCCTCCTTGATTTTTTTTTTTGTTTTCATGTCTGCATTTTGAGATGAGCTCGGATCGTTTATTCAATAATTTATTTTGGTCTGGAAAAGTAATGATAGCTATTTTTCCTCCAAGTAAAGTTTGCAAGCTTTGGATTGGTTATTGCAGGCTGATAATCTTTTCCTCATTTTCCGAGATATTTTTGGTGTGATGTGCGTTTTGTTTTTAATTTCCCAGATGTACTTCGAAAGCATTTTGCTGTTCGCGTATTCACTATTTGTGAAAGATTTTTTTGTATGCATAATTTCTTTGTTTGTCCTTCACTTAGTCCTATGTATACTTTTCTTCATCATCAGGTGATTTTATCGTGGCTTGGTATATTACGTTGTTTTATAAGCAATTACCGTTCAAGTGACATTCCTTATTTATTCTGCAGTTGCACGGTTTGTTGATAGTTTTTCTGTTGTGCTTTTTTAATATTTATGTCATGTTCTTGGTGCAACTGTAGCTGATTTTTACTGTGTTTTTGTTGAACATTTTGTGTAGGGTGCTTAATTCCGGGAAGTGTTTGTGTAAGAGTTTGAAGAATATTTTTCTTACGTTTGTTTTTACGTTTTTGCTGTACGGGGGTGGGGATTGAATCATATGATATTTCTTTTCTTGTTGGCCTTTTTTGTATTCTGCGGTGAGTATGTGAGTGTTGCTGGGAATCCGCTATCTTTTAGGGCTGTTTCGTAGTCTTTCTTAGCTTTGTTAAATATGGATTCATTGGAGGAATTGTCGGAAAGCCGGCAGTTAATCAAGTTTGGTATCTGTTTGGTTATAGAAGGCGGATGTTTGAAAGGTGTGTGTATATAGAGTGGTTTATCATTGGGTTTTTTGTATGGTTTATATGTGCCTTTTCTTAGGTTGAAGGTAACATCTAGAAAATCTACTTCATTTAGGTTAGTTCTTATATCTATGTCGAATCCGTTATTTTTGAAAATCTTTAATATTGCTTTTCTAGTTTTGTCTGTGTTTTGTTTGTTACAGGTTCTTAAGATTATGAGGTCGTCGTCCCTGTAGAGACCTGTGTCATTTCTTTCTATTGTTTTGCTTAGTGCAGTAAGTATATACCTATGATTTTGAAGAAATCTGACCGTCAAAGCTTCCCATTGTTGTGTCAAAGATCCCATCTTTCTTTATCCATGCTCCTTCATTGTGAAATAGTAATGATTTACGGGAGTGTTTAATGATGTCGATTTCGTTTTGCTTTATTATTATTTGTTCCTGAGCTAAGATGATGGCCTTATCTAGCATGGGTTTTTTTATGGATGGGTAAAATTCTTTTGTAGGAATTGGCAGTATTGTTTGTTATTTATGCTGTAGAACCAGCCAATAGTTGGTTTTGTGTTTTTCCACTGGTTTACTCCTAAGTTCAGAATTAATTCTTTCTAGTATTGTTCTACTTATTTTACCTAGATCGCTTTTGGCTGGGTTTATGAGTCTGCATGCAGAGTTGGTTTTGAAATGTTCTTTATGGTCTTTTAGTGTGATAAAGGCTTGTGTCTTGCCGATGCAACTTATTCGGTCTTCTACGTCTAATTTTAGGCGATTGTTTTAGCTTCCTTATTGATATCATGTTCTATTGTTTTTGGTGCCTTTTTGTATGTTTTGGTTATGTTCTTCTTGAGTAATTTATTGTGTGTAGGATGGCATAGTTTGTATAAATTTCTTGTTTTGTCAGCTGCGATAAATACATTTCCTGAATTGTTTATTTTAGTCATATTTTCTTTTAATTTTTTTTTAAATGCATCTTGGATTTTTATGGAATTCTATATTTCTAAGTAAGTCAGTTAAATCTTTCTCGAAGTTGTTTAATTCTTTTTGTTGCGGGGAACTTTTTTTGGGATAGGTATGTTTTTTTAGGGAGTAGTTGAGGCTAAATTTTTCCATACTGTCTTATTTTTCTATACGCTGTTATAAATGTAGCGAAAGTGCTCTACTGTTTATCAGGAGCTGAATATAAAGAAATCTAGTTTAAAGTGTGCTATATTTATGGGATAAAGTGCTCAATATCAGGGATAGAGACTGTGTAAATATAAATGTGAACATTGACGTCAACACTTAGAAGCGGCCGGTTGTTTCATGCTAAACGCAATCGTCAGGTCACGAGTGTTGTTTTTTCTCGGCTATTTATATATACGGGTCAGTGATGCATTGTGGGTAGTCTGTTTTGGCGGTTATTCTATATATATTCAAACAGGTTTGGTTAAATAATTTAAACATATCATGTCCTTTAGTTTTCTTTGTACTTTCAAGTTAATGGATTAATTTCTTAGTAGCCTTTAAAAATTGATTAAGAAAATACCATAATTTTCTTTTAAATATTTTTTTTATTTTAACTAAGTACTTAGAATAATCTTCAGGGGGTTAAATTTTCTGTGAGTATCTATGTGTTTTTTTTGTTTGTAATTAATTAATTATACATATATATATATATATATATATATATATATTCAAACATATATCGTTAAATATAACAGACAACGAATGGCTGTTATGTTTGATTATGAGCCGTTCTAAGCTTCGTATGTTTGCTATAATTTCAGGAGAAAATAAAGAAAAAAGATGTCTAAAATTTAGATGTTATTTATTATACCGTACCTCGATCTAAGGTTTCAGGTCAATATTCACCATCAAAGATGATATCCTACTTAACTTTGAAATATTAATTTTATCCCGACTTCGAAGTTTCTTGGTAAAATTTCCAGTTTTCAGGGGTTCTGGCTTTAAACGGCATTTCCCTTTTTTTTTTCAATCATATATAAAAGCTTGAAATATAACATAAAATGAGGGCTCAATATGAAAGTCAGCAGCGCCTAAACATAACATAATAATAATTCAGTAATATTAAAATTCGCAGCTGAGTTTCATGTGACAACAATCATCTGGCAATAACAGCTCGATGAATGTTACCACATCTAATCTCTGAGTAGCGGATTCAATTATTACTGGATCAATTTATTTTATTATATTTAGGCTTTTCTTTAAAAAAATAAATTAAATAGAGAAGAAATATGTATTTTTTATCATTTAGCACCCCTTCAGCACTCTACCAGTTGGCCTGGCGTATAGCCTTAAATAGACAACGATTAAAGACTTTAACAGTTGATTAATAAGTTGATAGCAAGCTGATTAATATTCGGACGGATCTTACTTCGCCATAGAGCATTTGGCTTTCCTCTATTCCGTATAAGCTGTCTTGTTAATTGTTTTGTAAGGTATTGTACTCTGTTTTTTTTGTTTTTTTTTTTGTAAATATCCGTTAGCACCAGATACTGGTGCTGAATAATATATTAAGCACTCATTTTTTCTGTGTATTATTCGCATGGACCCTATAACAGACACCAAGGGTTACGGGTAGTGGAAGTAAATATAAATGCTTGAGTGAGGGGAGAGGACAATAAAAAAAATTATTAGTTCATCGTTGTAATATTCTTTTATATAAGCGACCACTGTAAGGCCATCGATAGACATTATTAGTGCATCGTTGTAATATTCTTTTATATCAGCGACGACTGTAAGGCCATCGATAGACATTATTAGTGCATCGTTGTAATATTATTTTATATCAGCGACCACTGTAAGGCCATCGATAGACATTATTAGTGCATCGTTGTAATATTCTTTTATATCAGCGACCACTGTAAGGCCATCGATAGACATTATTAGTTCATCGTTGTAATATTCTTTTATTATAAGCGACCACTGTAAGGCCATCGATAGACAATATTAGTTCATCGTTGTAATATTCTTTTATATAAGCGACCACTGTAAGGCCATCGATAGACATTATTAGTGCATCGTTGTAATATTATTTTATATCAGCGACCACTGTAAGGCCATCGATAGACATTATTAGTGCATCGTTGTAATATTATTTTATATCAGCGACCACTGTAAGGCCATCGATAGACATTATTAGTTCATCGTTGTAATATTCTTTTATATCACCGACCACTGTAAGGCCATCGATAGACATTATTAGTGCATCGTTGTAATATTCTTTTATATCAGCGACCACTGTAAGGCCATCGATAGACATTATTAGTTCATCGTTGTAATATTCTTTTATATCAGCGACCACTGTAAAGCCATCGATAGACATTATTAGTGCATCGTTGTAATATTCTTTTATATCAGCGACCACTGTAAGGCCATCGATAGACATTATTAGTTCATCGTTGTAATATTCTTTTATATCAGCGACCAATGTAAGGCCATCGATAGACATTATTATTGCATCGTTGTAATATTCTTTTATATCAGCTACCACTGTAAAGCCATCGATAGACATTATTAGTGCATCGTTGTAATATTCTTTTATATCAGCGACCACTGTAAAGCCATCGATAGACATTATTAGTTCATCGTTGTAATATTCTTTTATATCAGCGACCACTGTAAGGCCATCGATAGACATTATTAGTTCATCGTTGTAATATTCTTTTATATCAGCGACCACTGTAAAGCCATCGATAGACATTATTATTGCATCGTTGTAATATTCTTTTATATCATCGACCACTGTAAGGCCATCGATAGACATTATTATTGCCTCGTTGTAATATTGTTTTATATTCTTTTATATCAGCTACCACTGTAAGGCCATCGATAGAAATTATTAGTGCATCGTTGCAATATTATCCTATATCCCCGAGCACCATAATATCAAAAATATCTTGGATGGCACGTAAAGAAATCGTTCATGCCTTTACTTTGGTCTCTTTTATTGTGAATTCCACATTTTCTAGAACTACATTTCCTTCTCTTCACGAGTGATGCGTGTATCCAGCCTACGCCAATGCAATATTTGTTTCTGACAAATACGAAATGTGTCACTTAGTTGTGTGCAAAGAGCGCTCCTTGTCATCTTTATATCAAGCTAACAGTTTAAAAGCGAAACCATGTTCAAATCATTTTCAGTTTCCATCAACGACCAAATTGCCTTATCCACAAAACGGACATTTACAAAGATAACAAAATATGCTACTTCTCTTGTTGCTTCAATTTCTCGAACAGACAACAGCAGCTGTTGGCGAAATCGAGCAGAGCCTTTTGCCGCTGTCCGTGCTTGATGGAGACCTCCTGGAGAACTGAACAGGAATACGCTTTTAGGTCAACCATTGGGAAACAAGGGGGTACATTCAAAAACGCTTTGTCGTTTTCCTGTGGATGACGTTTATCTGTCAAGACTTTTTCGTGATAGCAAAATTTAATATGTTAGCGCCCCCTCCCAACAAAAAATTTGATAGTCTCTTCTTTCAGTTGTATGTTAATGAGAATGGTAACATCTGGAAATATTTGAGATTCATTGACCGAGCAGCCAGTGCTTTTCGCGTTACGGTTTTCTTTGGGTAGGTATAAAAATGTACTATGTGTGCTACTAAACTCTAATGATAATGGTAATATTAGCCGTTTCCCTATAAGGAAACATTCCGCATTCACTGACCGAGCAGCCAGTGCTACTGTCGGTTTGACAGATTTATTTATTAAAACATATTGTTTTAAAGAAACCATGTTTACCAATCCAAGTAAATGTTTCTGTTTCCAGCTTTGATGAGGGGTTTCCTTTCTAATCTTTTGTTTGAAGTCATGTGGAACGCCAAACTCTTGATTATGTCATTATTCTCTTTTCGATTTACATGTTACATCCATTTTAGTTGTTGCCGCTTTTGGAAGTCCTCTAGTTATGTGATGTCTGTTATTTGATACAGTTCTTTGGGATTCTGCAGAAAAATTGTTGAAGCTCTGAAGAAGGACTGTCCTCACTAAAACTTAAGGGTTCTATTCGCTCGAAATCATTTTAATCATTGATCTGAGAATGCAGTTGTATACAATTTCGATTTTCTGAACGAGTTTGGCCACCATGCATGGAATCCATATAAAAGTCTAGACATGACGAAGCTATTTTAGAACAATGATCTTGTTTGAAGTTAATGTTTTAGTTTTGTAGCAACTTGTGGTATCGGGCGAAACTATCCACTATTTTCTGTTTAAGTTTCTTAACTCTTAAACTGAATTTGTTATAACTTATGCATACCACAAGGTATTTGAAGTATTTGTCATTTACTAGTTCTACATCCTGAATGAAGGATTCAGAGTATTTGCCATCACTGCTTTCATTTCAATGCTAGACGAGAGTTTCTATTTTACAATGTTTTAACTTGAATTCTACATCTTGAGACACATTGCAGAGAATGTTGAATTATTTATCCTCCTATTGACTGATTCCCAACAATTTTGGACATTTTCAAAGTCACACATTAGAAGAGATGTATCGAAAAATAAAAGACCAGACGACGATACATTTACGGTAAATAAATTAACAATTCTAATTCTTATAAAGTCTCGGACCGCAATGACCTATTGATAAAATCAAATATCGATGCAGTTCTTCCCTAAGTAACTAATAGAAAAAAAAATGAAATGCAAATATGGAAAAGGAACCTAATTAAATTATACGCGTTATATTAAATGAAATATATTAAATTATATGAAAATAATAACAAGTTCAGAAAACTTTCCTTCGGATTGACTGGCATGCTGCTCGTCAGAACTAACTGAATTCATGAGAAAATGTCATACTGATATACACTGCATAAAGAAATCTAACCATATTTTAAAAATCAAACTTGTGATAATATATACCAAGTCTATTCATAAATGTTGCTGTTATATAGCTTTTTTAAAATATTATTTCATCCCAAATGCGGCAACAAAGCCAGTGACATGCACTGAGTTATCTATCTATCTATCTATCTATCTATCTATCTATCTATCTATCTATCTATCTGAATATATTCCTTCCTTCCTATCTATCTATCTATCTATCTATCTATCTATCTATCTATCTGAATATATTCCTTCCTATCTATCTATCTATCTATCTATCTATCTATCTATCTATCTATCTGAATATATTCCTTCCTTCATATCTATCTATCTATCTATCTATCTATCTATCTATCTCTTTTCATATCTATCTATCTATCTATCTATCACTGTTCATATCTATCTATATATCTGAATCTATTCCTTCCTTCCTTCCTTCCTTCCTTCCTATCTATCTATCTATCTATCTATCTATCTATCTATTGTGAGACCGTAATATACCTACAAAATGGACTCTTCCAGGACTATATAAAGTATGCGATATAACACTCTAAGAGAGGAGGAGGAAAGAGAGAGAGAGAGAGAGTATTCTAATACCGTAGTATCAGCCGCATACGACTACCAATATTGGACACTAGCACATAGTAAGCTCCGCTTACACTTACACTATCTTTGTAACCTTTTTGTTTAATATATCTTTCTGACCTCTAATCCGTGTTCCGTATTTTCCTTCCGTGATCCCAACTTTGGGTCCGCATCACTATCTGAATCTATTTGTTCCTATCAATTTATCTGAATCTATCTATCTATCTATCTGAGTATATTCCTTCCTATCTATCTATCTATCTATCTATCTATCTATCTATCTATCTATCTATCTATCTATCACTGTTCATATCTATCTATCTGAATCTATTCCTTCCTTCCTTCCTTCCTTCCTATCTATCTATCTATCTATCTATCTATCTATCTATCTATCTATCTATCTATCTATCTATCTATCTATCTATCTATCACTGTTCATATCTATCTATCTGAATCTATTCCTTCCTTCCTTCCTTCCTATCTATCTATTGTGTTTTTATGTTTCTGATTTATTTTGCGTACCATTCATATATTAACATTGTCTTGTATCCAAACTAAAAAATAGCCTCTTGTTTTTAAATTTCATTCCACCCCATGCAAGATAATAAAGCCACTATAACACAAGCCATTACTGGATGTCAGGGAATATGAGAAAAGAAAAACTATTGAGGAGAGAGAACAAAAAAAAAAGACCAGAAATTAAGAAGACAGAAGATAACGATTGACATTGCATTTAATTTCCGAAGATCAATCTTGGCTGAAAAGCAAGAAGACATAAGAGAGTCCCACAAGAGAGACGTGCAATAGAAGGAACTATTAGCATAGAACTTACGGTTACAGTTAACCATTGCAAATATAAAATGATGAAATTTTGCCGCCAATTCCTAGTACTGCGCTTAAATTAAAGAGTCTAGGTAATTGATTTAAAATATGTTTTTTTTCGCTACACAGTTCTAACCATGTTTCAAAAATGGAAGCTAAATTCCCCGAATTTAATTTTGTAATTAAATTAAAGACATTAGTTCCATTTCATCCTCAATACATACATACATACATATATATATATATATATATATATATATATATATATATATATATATATATATATATATATAGCTGGTCACTCGTATTCGAGGATAGCTGTCTACTAAGGCGGCTAGACGATCGCTTATGCATATTTTGTGTTTGTTCAACGCCTACCAAGCTCACCCGTGGCTTATACTCCAACCTTAGTTACAGTTTCTGGGATACATCTAGCGTTATCAACAATATGAACAAGGCCAGCACAATCACGACTTCGTGCAAGCATAGCTATCGATGGCTCCCAAGTGTTCCGTCTATGCAATGCCACTCACAAGTCTTGGTTCAACCCATGATATTTTTTCAGGAACTCTCTCTCTCTCTCTCTCTCTCTCTCTCTCTCTATATATATATATATATATATATATATATATATATATATATATATGTATGTATATAAGAACACGTGAGAGGATGATTAGATAGAGTCAAAGGGTTTGGGAAGACGCAAGGCTAGGGATAATGGATAATTTTAGTTCTATTGAAAAGGGATAAGGGACAGAATGTGAAGATACAGGAAAGCTGTGAAATAAGTCCCGATATAATATAAATTATCTTCGATATATTAGAATGGATAAAGTATACAAAGATTAGATACAATAATTGAATACTGGTAAAGGGCGAGAAAAAAGTGAGTGATGGTATAATAGGTGATGTTGATTGCATTGAAAAGGATAAGGGAGAATAAGAGGAGATACAGGTTAAGGAAGAGTGCAGACATAAAAGAATAAATGTCTAGTTATATTCAAAAGGATAAGGGAGTGAATAAGAAGACACAGGTAAATTACAAACAAAAATGGAAGATATTAAATAATGTTGGATGTATTAGAATGAAAAGAGGTACAATGATTGGATACAAGAAAAGTGGGGAAGGGTTAATATAACGTAATGCGTAATCTTGATTCTGTTGATCGTCCTGGGTAAGACATTAAACTACATCCCCGTCCTGGGTAAGACGATAAACTACGTCCAGCAGCAAGGCCTCTGATCAGAAGGTTTTGAGAAGCGTGGAACCACCTGTTAATTGCTGGTGTTCCCAGGTCTACCCTGACCCGGGGTGGTAGCACCTGTTAGGGTCTCAACTATGGGTATATAGTTAAATATTATCAGCAATACCTTTTTGAAAAAAAAAAACAATTATTACCAGCAATATATTTTGAAGGGAAAAATATTACTAAAAACAGATTTTTGATAAAACAAAACATTACCATCAATAAAAATATGTCGTCGGCATTAAATAACCCATTGAGGTTGATATGCCGTAAAACAAAATAAACCAAACTAATCTAAACCAAAGAATACATATTCTATTCATTCGAATCTATCCTAATGATGTTGTCGGCATTAAATAACCCATTGAGGTTGATATGCCGTTAAACAAAATAAACTAAACCAATCTAAACCAAGAAATACATATTCTATTCATACGAATCTATCCTAAAATGTTGTTGGCATTAAATAAGCCAAGAGGTTGATATGCCGTAAAAGAAAATAAACCAATCCAACCAACATGATTCTGTTGAAAAGGATAAGGGAGTTATTAAGAAGACACAAGAAGAGTAAATGAGTAAATTGTAGAACCATGAGAGAATGGATATATTTAATTGCAGTGGAAGAGATAAGAGAGAAAATGAGAAAATACAAGCAAGGAGTAAGGGAAGAGCAAAGGTAATCGATAAAAGTTGTATTGGAATGGATAAGGAAAAGAATAAGAATGTACTGTAAAGGACAAGCAATAACCAGAAGCATAGGATAGTTAATACTATTATGTTCACCGAGTTCAAATAATATATATATATATATATATATATATATATATATATATATATATATATAGCTTCCGTCAGTGAAATTATTAATGTTAATTTTATAGAAAAATACACTTTTTTTTAAATTTATCGATGATCTTTGACAAACACTGCTATTAAAAAATTCTTCAGGCTATAAAGAAACATATACAGAATGTAGTTGCATTATTTACATTATTCGGACTATTGTTTCGGCCGTTGTACGCTCCAGCCTTCTTCAGGTGGTTCTAGTTCCACGTACCATGTTTAATGGATATCAGTTATCAGTTATCTCCTGTTAATTCTCCTTTCCAAGTTCTCCACTGCGTTAACCGGGTATTGAACTCACACTCTTTGGGTCATGCCACAGGATCGAACTAACGCATTTATCCACTGTGCCATGTGTCCTTGAAGAAGGCCGGAGCGTACAACGGCCGAAACGTTGTAATAAATATGGCGACAAAGATGAGGACAATAGTCCGAATAATGTAAATAATGTACATAATACCTCATTTCAGAAATATAGACAGATAAAGGATGTAGTTGCGTCTACATTTCTATAAAGAAGTTAGCTATCTGTATATGTGAGAGTGCTGATCGAAATACTCATCTGTAAAAGAGTTTATGGATGCGTGTCTGACGTGTAGACATATTGATAGATAAAATTTCATATATTCATGGATATATCTTGAACTGATGGCTTTGTACACGCTTACAGCCATCAGGCATCCGCATAAATTGGCATAAAATACCCTCACATGTATGTATGTATGTATATATCGATACTTAGGTAAACAGTTGAAAGCAGATATTGTTTACAAGAGAGAATGCTTAAACTTTGCGAAGTCATCCTGGCCCAGTTATATCGAACTATATTGCATGAGCCATGGTATTGGTTTTCGATCGTTTTTTTTATGAATATTTCATGCACATCTTTCTCGGAAGAATTATGCGAAAGGTTCGCTTTAGATCACAATTAAAACATGCACAACATATTTACAATTCCACTCAGACAAAAAAAAATATATATATCAACAACAATTCAGTATATATATATATATATATATATATATATATATATATATATATATATATATACATGTATGTATGTATGTATGTAAAGTTGCATGCTTGTTATCATTTGAATTCGACCAACCTGAAAATATTATATACCTCAGTTTACTATCTATCTATCTATCTATCTATCTATCTATCTATCTATCAGAGCCTACTCATGTCTATGTAAATTTGAATATACCGGCTTAAATACATTAATACCGTTCTATCTTGAACTGTCCATTCACATTGATTTCAATCCTTTGATAAATCCAGGCTTTCTTCGCATACACACATATATTCTGAATATATATATATATATATATATATATATATATATATATACATATATATATATATATATATATATATATATATATATACACACACACACACACATATATATATATATATATATATACACGTTTGTGACTATATATGTGTCAGTGCGTGTTTATCTTATCTGAATGTTTATATGTGTCTGCCATGTTTAAAAAATTGCTGCACAGAAAATCGAATCAGCACCTTGGTAAGCCAGTGTTCTGTTTGAGCAAATGCTCTTGGGAAAACGTTTGGTCTCGTCACTTTCTGTCTCCTTACCAGAGATCTCGATAAGTATGGTGCGCCCGACACTGACGTTGTCGAAAACCATATCTCCTAAGTGATTTTTCTTGTTGCTCATGTTACATGATATCACCGTCGGGGTAAGCACCCCCAACTCACCATAAACTAGATAGAGATATCACTGTGGATTAAGATGTCGTCTTCGATTAAAAAAAAAAATTCTTGAGTGAAATAAAAAAAAAGATTCGAATGTCTCAAAGTTCTCACGTTTAATAGATATGAAATCTATAGTTCCAGACAATACAAAACAATTAATATCGTTTCTATGAACTGAAAAATTGGCAATATTTTTATTAAAGATTAATCAACTCGTTATTAATAATTTAAAAGGCTTCTCTACAAGAAATCTGTAATGGACTTAGCTATATAGTTTTTAAGCTTGCATATTATAGTTTTAACATTATAATATAGTTTGAACACTGAAATATAGATCTTAATGTTTTATGGCTACGTATACGCAGGAGTTAAAAATGTTTAATCAACATTGGTAAATAAATTATTTTGTTAATGTTACCTCCAAATTAGATTGATTAGCAGTAAGCTTTTTTTACGTACAGATAAATTATATCAAGCATAGTGTTGTGTCGTAAATAAGAAAGGTTGATTCTCATACAGAAAATAAGTAGTTTATTCCGGAGAATAATATGATACACGTTGGGAACACAGACTAATTTAATAAACAGTTAATCGGGATCGAGAACTCCCCACAAGACAAGATTTGTCACAAGGCTGCTTTTTAAAGTGAGGATTTTCGAGCTCTACGCCTGGGCAAAAATTCCCTGTAGAACCTGTATACACGGGGTCAGGAGGTTGTTTATCTCTAGAGACGAGACTCTCCCCGTAGGCATAGCCGAATTTGAGTTCATCTTCGCCCGAAAGCGAAGTCGACAAGCAGAGTAACCGTTAATCGTTAACTCGGTATCTAGCTGAGACCTCCCCACAGGGTCTGATGTGGGGGATACGCTCGGGCAAAAAGTCTCCGTAGACCCCGAATAGCTGGCGTTAAGCAACTGTCTACCTTCCCAGACGAGACTCTGAAAAGTTAATGCGATTAATCTTTTTATTCAATTTCCCTTGTGTTTGTATAAGATTTATTTCTGGATATAAAGTGTGTAAAATCTCTCTCTGAATATTTTAAATATCTGAGCGCTTTTGGCTATTCTATTAGACATTATCAAGAATGATTTACATATTTTTATCTTTAACGAAATGTGTAGATTTATTTACATATAAATCTAGAGTAATGTGATTTTTTTTATTTCCCTAACACGGTCATCACATTATGGCCATGTTCATAGTTGATGCTATTAAGTGTTGGCTTTTCTTTTTTATTATGAATGTTATTGTTATAGAGTAGTTTCACAGTGGAGGCTTGTCGGTCCTAAAAAGATTCGACGTACAAAACGTTAGGAACTTGATATAATAGTTAATGACGCAGCAATCTAGTTGTGGTGGTTGATACTTTAATGTCCGACTAACGGTCGTCCGACATCGACTGACTGACCAAATCCCGACTGACTCAGTGACTGCTACTACTCCTACTTATTATAGGTGGGAGAGTCTATTAACAATAGAATAGGTGTGCTCCAGTATAACAGTTATTTTATTTTTTTTGCATTACATGTGGATGAGGCTATTATATTTGTATTTTCTACACGTATGTTGCGGATGTTTGTAGGTTTCCGTATTTAAATGAGGATAAAAACAGTGAAATATATATATATATATATATATATATATATACCTCAAACGAAAGCAAGGACAACATTCTATATAAACATATGTTTGCAACTACTTTGTCTTTGAGTTATTAAGTTTAAAGTTTACGTCAGACGCTGTTAAATGTACAATCCAAGATACAATCCGAAAATACTTTTACAATTTTGGGGCTTGGTTTTGACACCACAACACAGGTAGGTGTATATATATATATATATATATATATATATATATATATATATATATATATATATATATATATATAAGCACATGTCTAAGAGGCCAAAACAGCAGCTCATAACAAATGTTCTTCGCTTGATTCTATACACTTATACACCCGTTGGATCATTAACTGGCGGGACCTTTCAAATACTCCCACCTGGTTTCGCAGGTCCCCATGACACAATGATGAAGGTTTTTGCATTATTAATACCTACTTTATAAATGAATAGTTTTATGTGGCCCCAGAGATAAAAATCCAAACGTTCTGCCTCTACTTACACATTTTTAATGGTAGATGTCAGTCAGTGCCTCGCGAACAATGTGACTAAACTGTGCATGAACCACATGCCCTTTCGTATTAGCAAGAGAACATCCTCTAGCAGATCTGGTAGTGTGTTAGAAATAATGTCGCTGTAGACAACTCATGTAAGACGTGCCAGAAGAACATATGGACCTACCAGACAGTCACCTACAGTCCCATCCAACATATAGCCGTAAATTGATGCTGGTGTCGAGCCTGTAGTGTATCATGGGGATTTCCGAACATTCAACAAATGTTGGGTAAATTTGTTATTCAATGCTGCCCCATCCGTAAAGAAAACTGAAGAGACAAACAACGGATCGACAGTTTGTACAGTAAACCATCGGCAAAGTTTCCCCTGTGTGAGTGATTAGAGGGAAAAAGACCCTGCATAGGTTGTAAATGATAAAGGGGCTGGTTTTTAAGTACCCTCCATACGATAATATGAAATATACGACATGTTATGGGCACTACAGACAGCCTGTAGAATGTGTTTTTCGTGTTCTCTATAAGGAGAAGTACTACAACATGTCCGCAAAACGAACTCCAAAATATCTTGAAGAAAGTCAATATTGTACGTATGGTAGGACCGTTCGTTTATTATAATGTAAAGGCCCTTAAAACGAAATGAGAGATTAAATGAATATTTACATGTCCAGTATGCACATCGTGTAAGAATAACACTGGAAAGATTCATTGGATCAGATTTTTTCTAATTATTATCAACGACATTTTCAAAGTCATTAATTCCCAAATAGGTATTTCTGCTGGTGGCACAACAATTACTCCTTCTTTAACAGTAATTTCGATTGATATGACAAAGTAAAACTGGCATTTGTTTACGAAAACGACCACTAATCAGTTGTTAATCTGTGCAAGAAATGACTTGGAAATTTTAAAGCCTTCTAAACGAAACTATTCTATAATAATTTCAAAGAAGAAGTATTTTTGCTTTCCGTCAGTATTTCGTATTTTCTACTGATATGAAGAGGAGCGATTATATTAAATAAATTCATATGCCTGATACTAATAAAAATGTTTTACTGTGCACTGCCAGAAAATTTCTCTCATCAGAATCCCTCTTACACATTTTAAAATCTAACCTTCGCCCACCCATTCAACATTGTTTCCCATACCTGGTATGATGCTCCTACTATATATTCGAGATTATCCGAAGAAGATGCTGTAATATTATCTGCCCTGATCTTACGCATTCCCGACTTAGTGGGAAGGCTACGGGTAAATATTGACACGAGTGTGATTTTTGCGCCCTCGCTAAAATGTAAAATTGATACCAGTTTGGGGCCTGAACCAGCTCGTGCTGTTTTTAGGCAAATTTTAACAAGTGCTCTGAGCGTCCGCGCTCATGTTCACCATGTTAAACACTGACTTTGTGTGGCATACCGTCTCAGTGTGGAGACTACGGGTAACTACTGACTCGAAGGCGATTACCCCCATCTCCCTGAAATGACAAGTTGAGACCTGTTTTGGGTATGTCCCCGCTCGTGCAACGTCAAGGCAAATTTTGTCCAGTAGCCCTAGCGTCGGCGCTAGGGTTCCAAACAAAACGATTAAATCTGTGTCACATATCACCTCAGTGGAAAGGATAGGGGCCTGACACCGGTCGCGCGGGTTTAAAAACATTTTGACCAGTGGCCTAAGCATTCGTGCTCGGGTCCCTCATGTTAAGCCCTGACTTTGAGTCGAATCTCGCCTAAGTGGGGAGGTTACGGGTTATTATCGACTCCTGGGGAAAGACATCCTGGATGATTGGGTTGCATCCGGACCACCGACCAGCTTAGACCAGCAGCCTGCAGCGAGCCCAAAGACGAACAGCGACCTTCAACACTGTCCAATGCCCAAAAGTGATCAGCGATCACCGGCGACAAACTGCCATCATTAGCAACCAGGGATTATCAGTTATCAGCTGCGATAACCGTGACCACCTGTTGACAGTATCAACCTGCGATTATCAGCGACCAGCAGCGATCACCGGCGAGCAAATGCGGTCACTAGCAAGCAGCGATTATCAGCGACCAGCAGCGATCACCGGCGATAAACTGCGGTCACTAAAAACCAGCGATTATCAGCGACAAGCAGCGATCACCGGCGACAAACTGCGGTCACTAGAAACCTGCTACTATCAGCGACCAGCAGCGATCACCGGCGACAAACTGCGGTCACTAAAAACCAGCGATTATCAGCGACAAGCAGCGATCACCGGCGACAAACTGCGGTCACTAGAAACCTGCTACTATCAGCGACCAGCAGCGATCACCGGCGACAAACTGCGGTCACTAAAACCAGCGATTATCAGCGACAAGCAGCGATCACCGGCGACAAACTGCGGTCACTAGAAACCTGCACTATCAGCGACCAGCAGCGATCACCGGCGACAAACTGCGGTCACTAGAAACCTGCTACTATCAGCGACCAGCAGCGATCACCGGCGACAAACTGCGGTCACTAAAAACCAGCGATTATCAGCGACAAGCAGCGATCACCGGCGACAAACTGCGGTCACTAGAAACCTGCTACTATCAGCGACCAGCAGCGATCACCGGCGACAAACTGCGGTCACTAAAACCACCGATTATTAGCGACAAGCAGCGATCACCGGCGACAAACTGCGGTCACTAGAAACCTGCTACTATCAGCGACCAGCAGCGATCACCGGCGACAAACTGCGGTCACTAAAAACCAGCGATTATCAGCGACAAGCAGCGATCACCGGCGACAAACTGCGGTCACTAGAAACCTGCTACTATCAGCGACCAGCAGCGATCACCGGCGACAAACTGCGGTCACTAAAACCAGCGATTATCAGAGACAAGCAGCGATCACCGGCGACAAACTGCGGTCACTAGAAACCTGCTACTATCAGCGACCAGCAGCGATCACCGGCGACAAACTGCGGTCACTAAAAACCAGTGATTATCAGCGACAAGCAGCGATCACCGGCGACAAACTGCGGTCACTAGAAACCTGCTACTATCAGCGACCAGCAGCTATCACCGGCGACAAACTGCGGTCACTAGAAACCTGCTACTATCAGCGACAAGCAGCGATCACCGGCGACAAACTGCGGTCACTAGAAACCTGCTACTATCAGCGACCAGCAGCGATCACCGGCGACAAACTGCGGTCACTAGAAACCTGCTACTATCAGCGACCAGCAGCGATCACCGGCGACAAACTGCGGTCACTAAAAACCAGCGATTATCAGCGACAAGCAGCGATCACCGGCGACAAACTGCGGTCACAAGAAACCTGCTACTATCAGCGACCAGCAGCGATCACCGGCGACAAACTGCGGTCACTAAAACCAGCGATTATCAGCGACAAGCAGCGATCACCGGCGACAAACTGCGGTCACTAGAAACCTGCTACTATCAGCGACCAGCAGCGATCACCGGCGACAAACTGCGGTCACTAAAACCAGTGATTATCAGCGACAAGCAGCGATCACCGGCGACAAACTGCGTTCACTAGAAACCTGCTACTATCAAACTGCGACCAGCAGCGATTACCGGCGACAAACTGCGGTCACTAGAAACCTGCGACTATCAGCGACCAGCAGCGATCACCGGCGACAAACTGCGGTCACTAAAAACCAGCGATTATCAGCGACAAGCAGCGATCACCGGCGACAAACTGCGGTCACTAGAAACCTGCTACTATCAGCGACCAGCAGCGATCACCGGCGACAAACTGCGGTCACTAGAAACCTGCTACTATCAGCGACCAGCAGCGATCACCGGCGACAAACTGCGGTCACTAAAACCAGCGATTATCAGCGACAAGCAGCGATCACCGGCGACAAACTGCGGTCACTAGAAACCTGCTACTATCAGAGACCAGCAGCGATCACCGGCGACAAACTGCGGTCACTAAAACCAGCGATTATCAGCGACCAGCAGCGATCACCGGCGACAAACTGCGGTCACTAAAACCAGTGATTATCAGCGACCAGCAGCGATCACCGGCGACAAACTGCGGTCACTAAAACCAGCGATTATCAGCGACAAGCAGCGATCACCGGCGACAAACTGCGGTCACTAGAAACCTGCTACTATCAGCGACCAGCAGCGATCACCGGCGACAAACTGCGGTCACTAAAACCAGTGATTATCAGCGACAAGCAGCGATCACCGGCGACAAACTGCGTTCACTAAAACCTGCTACTATCAGCGACCAGCAGCGATCACCGGCGACAAACTGCGGTCACTAGAAACCTGCTACTATCAGCGACCAGCAGCGATCACCGGCGACAAACTGCGGTCACTAAAAACCAGCGATTATCAGCGACAAGCAGCGATCACCGGCGACAAACTGCGGTCACTAGAAACCTGCTACTATCAGCGACCAGCAGCGATCACCGGCGACAAACTGCGGTCACTAAAACCAGCTACTATCAGCGACCAGCAGCGATCACCGGCGACAAACTGCGGTCACTAAAACCAGCGATTATCAGCGACAAGCAGCGATCACCGGCGACAAACTGCGGTCACTAGAAACCTGCTACTATCAGCGACCAGCAGCGATCACCGGCGACAAACTGCGGTCACTAAAACCAGCGATTATCAGCGACAAGCAGCGATCACCGGCGACAAACTGCGGTCACTAGAAACCTGCTACTATCAGCGACCAGCAGCGATCACCGGCGACAAACTGCGGTCACTAAAAACCAGCGATTATCAGCGACCAGCAGCGATCACCGGCGACAAACTGCGGTCACTAAAAACCAGTGATTATCAGCGACAAGCAGCGATCACCGGCGACAAACTGCGGTCACTAGAAACCTGCTACTATCAGCGACCAGCAGCTATTACCGGCGACAAACTGCGGTCACTAAAAACCTGCTACTATCAGCGACCAACAGCGATCACCGGCGACAAACTGCGGTCACTAAAAACCAGCGATTATCAGCGACAAGCAGCGATCACCGGCGACAAACTGCGGTCACTAGAAACCTGCTACTATCAGCGACCAGCAGCGATCACCGGCGACAAACTGCGGTCACTAAAACCAGCGATTATCAGCGACAAGCAGCGATCACCGGCGACAAACTGCGGTCACTAGAAACCTGCTACTATCAGCGACCAGCAACGATCACCGGCGACAAACTGCGGTCACTAAAAACCAGTGATTATCAGCGACAAGCAGCGATCACCGGCGACAAACTGCGGTCACTAGAAACCTGCTACTATCAGCGACCAGCAGCTATCACCGGCGACAAACTGCGGTCACTAGAAACCTGCTACTATCAGCGACCAGCAGCGATCACCGGCGACAAACTGCGGTCACTAAAACCAGCGATTATCAGCGACAAGCAGCGATCACCGGCGACAAACTGCGGTCACTAGAAACCTGCTACTATCAGCGACCAGCAGCGATCACCGGCGACAAACTGCGGTCACTAAAACCAGCGATTATCAGCGACAAGCAGCGATCACCGGCGACAAACTGCGGTCACTAGAAACCTGCTACTATCAGCGACCAGCAGCGATCACCGGCGACAAACTGCGGTCACTAAAACCAGTGATTATCAGCGACAAGCAGCGATCACCGGCGACAAACTGCGGTCACTAGAAACCTGCTACTATCAGCGACCAGCAGCGATCACCGGCGACAAACTGCGGTCACTAGAAACCTGCTACTATCAGCGACCAGCAGCGATCACCGGCGACAAACTGCGGTCACTAAAACCAGCGATTATCAGCGACAAGCAGCGATCACCGGCGACAAACTGCGGTCACTAAAACCTGTGATTATCAGCAACCAGCAGCGATCACCGGCGACAAACTGCGGTCACTAAAATCAGCGATTATCAGCGACAAGCAGCGATCACCGGCGACAAACTGCGGTCACTAGAAATTTGCGATTATCAACGACCAGCAGCGATAATCGGCGACCAACTGCGGTCAACAACAGTCAATATTATATTTTATTTATAATCCCCTACCAGTTTAAGGCATTGAGCCGTTTTTCTTCGATCGACCTTTGTAGTGCACTTCCTTAAAAATTGCTTACTCTTTTTAAATTCAGCCGTTTTGTTTTCCGATGATGTTCATTCTGTACAAGGCCCAAAAGCCGCTCGACAAAATTTACAAAGTAAGTGGCAACACTCCAAGGAAGGTGAAAATCCCACCAACACCAAGAGGCCACCGGAAGAGAAAGAGAAGGAAAACACTTTAGAAGGAACCGGAAACCCAATTCTAAAGAGGAAACAAAGGATAATATTCTATTCCTGTTCCAAATACAGGGAAGAAGTATGAACCTGATGATTTGCAAATTTATTTACTGCTATTTAGAAGAAAAAAATAATGAAAAGTAAATAAAATCTTTTAGGCGGACACGTTAGACTTATAGAGTCGAAGTAGACTTTAGAATGAACCGTAAACCCAATTCTAGACAGGGAAAAAGGGATAAATCTCTACACCTGTTCAAAAGACTAGGGAGGCAAAACTATCTCCTCTAATTGATGAAAATACCTGTAAATGGTTATAATTCCGGAAACACCATCCCAAACAAGAAAGATGAGATAAAACTCTACACCTGCTCAACTGACCGGGGAGGAGTGTGATCCGGGCGGCAGGCGTATATATCTACTCCTATTAAAAAGTAGTTTAGTAGTACATAGACGTTCAGAGTATGAGGCAGAGACTTTAGACGTATAGCGTGTGAACCGGACGATAGACAGACTATTTACTATTCAAATGATATTAATATACGTTTACCGCATTCGATGATTTTTGTGGCTCAAAATACCCACTTTAAAGTGTAATATCATATTTCCTTAGTAGGGGAGGAAGTGAAACTTTCGCAGTTCAACTAATAAATATTGATGTTTGATATATTTTTGAAGTAGTTTAGTCGATATCTTTTTAAATCATCCTCATATTCCGTATTTTGACTGCTGTCTACATTATCTAAAATTGGTGTAGTGTAAGGTAATATTTAGTGGACCTATAAATGTTACCAAAGAGGCCTCGGAAAATACCTTAGATACAGCTTATATGGAAGGTTGTTGGTGTAACAATTTTCTTTTTTTTTTTGTCTTTCGTTTATTATTTTCCTCTTTTTCTTCGTTTTTCTTTCTTTTCTTCAATATAGTCTCCATCTGATTCGATCCTTTCTTATTTTCTCTTGGCTTGTATTCGCTTTGGTATTTCCTTATAGATTCTCCTAACCGCTTCATTACGTTTCTCTTCTGCCGATATTTCTCATTTATTACGTCTGTTTTTTTTATTTGCTTCAAACCGTAGCATTTTTTGAATGGAGTTTTCCAATTTGGTTTTGGCGCTTATCCTTTTTGTTTCGCACATTGGTTCAGGTTTCATGTTTCCTCTACGCAAGTGAACTTCTGCCTCTGTAGAAGTGGAGGTTTGACGTGGGGTGGAGATTGTAGGTCAGGGGGAAGAGACAAATCATGAGATTGTGTCCCTTGCCATAAATGGATCAAACATAAGATGGAAAAAATAAAAATAAATAAATGAGAAAACAATATGAACAAAAACAAATATAAAACATGTCGGCGCCTTCACATTGTCTCAGCCTACGCCCATGAATCATCCTTTGTATGATTGGGACAATTCAAAATTTGGCGCATTGCCCTCCATAGCAACGCTATAATATATATATATATATATATATATATATATATATATATATGCACACACGTATGGTTGGGGTCGAAAGTGTGTGGATTGAACATAGACCCCCCCACACATATATATATATATATATATATATATATATATATATATATATATATATATATATGTATGTATGTATATATATATATATATAATATATATATATATATATATAATATATATATATATATATATATTCTACACTTATACATATATACACAAAGTATATATATATATATATATATATATATATATATATGTGTGTGTGTGTCTGTGTGCGTGTGTGTGTGTGTTTTACTTGGGCGTACACGCAGACGTTATTAATGTCTCGATTGAAACGGTTTTTTTGACAAAACAATTGCGAATGCGAGTTCAATCTTTGTCCGGATTTACATTTTTCCTTAATAGGGTTTTCGATGGTCTTCACCGGAAAGAGTTAATTTCACTGTTTGGACAGAATCCATTGATATCTTTTCAAACAAACAAACAATGGTCAAAACTGAGTAGCGACCGTCTGTTTCATGCTTGAACTCAATCCAATCTGAAATACATCTCTTTCGATTTTGAACTTAGTGTCCAGTTTATATATATATATATATATATATATATATATATATATATATATATATATACTCCAGTTTGTCATACTTTTCCACCATTTCTACCATTTGTCTATATATAAAATTAAACGAAATTATATTCCTTTGGCATGTATTCGTTGCACCAGGTTTCTGTATTCGTCCCTTCAAAAAGTGTGGCTGGTCCTGCACAAGGCCTTCACCACTATAAACATATCTCATGTGCCGGTGTCGGGACATCGGTTTCCTGGGGACTTATCGGCCTGGCCCTCATACGTCGAACGCGACGGGAGAGTCGATTATATATATATATATATATATATATATATATATATATATATATATATATATATAAAATGAGAACGAATCGAATATAAATTACAACGTTCGTAACATTAATTTAAAACATGGATTAATACAATAGTAGGACTTTGGTCTATATTTTAGGATAAAATAAAATATTTGCATTTATGTAGCGTTGATTTTCATGTCGATGTAATTCTACTAAATTAAAGTATGTATGTATATATATATATATATATATATATATATATATATATATATATATATATATGTGTGTGTATATATATTGAGATATGTTTCATTAAATAATATAGACAAGTATATCGTCTGATAAGCTTAATAATATTATCATTAAACGAAGAAAGAAAATCTCAATATTGATACACATTTTTTAATCCAATCTAAGCTTTCGATTTACATAAGCCATTACAATATATTAAGCAATACACGGACAAGCCAGTTGTGATAGTCTGTTTCTGTTTACATGGAAGGTTTCCAGGCAACGACAAACTCGTGCATATAAGACGCTGGAAGCAAAAGTCGCACCGCAGCTCAAGTCGTCACACATGACCAGAGATATTCTTAAATGTCTATAATTGGTAACAGAAGACATTGGTTTATACAAACGGTTTCCCATACTAAATACTTCTTGAATTCACTCTCGCGTAGTCATGTGTGACGTCATGAGCTGCGGTACACTTCTCTCTGTGTTTCTCTTACCTTTTTGCCCTCTGTGTGTCGGATTTTCCTAGCCGACTTTCCTCATTATCTGACCCGGAAATACAAACACCCTGTTTCTCCTCCTAAGAACAAGGGTCATTTGATCCCATTTTCTTTAAAACATCCTTGTTTGCACATAGGCATCGTCCCTGGTATTTCTCGGATTATTTTTTTTCTCGTAATTATTTTCTTCTTTTTCTTTTCACTTAGAGTAAAAAGGTTTGCTTATCACCCTGTTCCCACTTCCTCCCTGCCTGTTGAACAGAAGTAGATGTTTATCCTTTGTTTCTTGTTTAGGATGAGGTTTCCGCTTCCATCAAGAGCCTTCTCATTCTCTTTCAATCCACTGCTCCCCCCTGCGTCTTAGTGGCATTATCACCTTGCTTGGGGTGAATTGATTTAAAACACACACACACACACACACACACACACACACACACACACACACACACACACACACACACACATATATATATATATATATATATATATATATGACCTATGCCGTATGGCTCGCAGACGCGACAGGAGTGGATTACCATTTGTGTGCACGCTATAATGATGGATGTATTCCTTTGCGTGAAGACAGTTTCAGGAATTATTATTATTCTTCAGACAAAATAAGTATATCGTCTTTTGCAACAATGCCTCTTGGCACAGATGATCAGCCAACCGCCCCACCTCCACTCAATCGTCTCGCCCATCTTTTGTCACTTAATATTTGTTTTTATTAACTTTCTTCCCAGCGACATATTGATCCAACGTTCCATTATCTCTATTTCATATTCATACAGAAAAAAAAAAAAGAATACAAAAAACCGTATCGGTTTTGATGATACATTGCCCACCGCCAACAGTTAACAACAACAACAACAACAACAATAATAATAATAATAATAATAATGGAATTGTTATATTATGTTAGTGATGGAGTAATCATAGTAAGTTAGTTAACAAGTGCATTGCATCCTGTCATTGCCTCAGATAAATAACGAAGATGAAGATAATGAACAAAACAGGTCCAAAGAGGGAACCTAATGGCAGAGCCACGTTAAAGGGTAAAAATCTACTAAAGTCGCCGTTCAACACAACATTCATTACGTGATTTGTTCAGAAAGGTTGGATGAAAGCCTAAATTCAGCCGGAAATACCATAAGCTCTCAGCTTGTAAAGAAGACCCTCATGCCACATCTCTGCCAAAAGACTTCAAGATATAAACCTACGGACAGAAATTCACTGTTTTTATGCAAACTTGACAAACTCTTTCAGTAATAATAGATAACACGTCGGAGATTCACTTAGAGAAGAAAATGCCATATTGTTTGCCCGAAAAAAGGCCAGGGTAATGCTAAACAGATTCGGAGCTGATTGTCGCCTCAAATGAGGCAGGAGACTAACAGTGGGGATATTTAGAGGAACCAGGAGGTTCACCAGTGTTCTTAAAACCTGGAAATACAAAAGAGGATTTCCAACATGTTGGAAAGCAAGAAGTAGC